GGGGAAAGGAAAGAAGGGAAAGGAAAAATTATGAGAAAAGTAAAAAATGGAAACAAAGTCTTTGTAACTAGGGAAGGGAGCACAGGAAATGGGGAAAAATAAGAACTAAAATACATCATGTGCAAGTACAAGCACCCAATGATAAATGTAATGTATACCTAAAATATACCAATAAAAATAATTTAAGAAAAAAAAAGAAGTGGGATTCAGTCCCCATCTGCAGCTCCTGTTCAGTGGTAGAAAAGTATCTTCATGGGTCCAGAGGTGACGAGGTGTGGCAGTCAAGCCTGAACACTGAGCTGTCTGCATCTGTGGCTGAGGAAATTGCCTAGTTTGGAAAAAAACATGGGACACTCTATGTCTAACATTTTTTCAAAAACTAATAGTGATCTTGTGGGGAAGATCAATGATGTTATAATAAAAACCCCTGGAAGATATGTTGATGGCTCCAGGGAAAATGCATTAGCATTCAAAATGGTGTAAGTATTACAGATTTAACCAAAGAACAGAATGACAGCTAGAAGAGCCTACCTATATCCAAAGTCACCTCTGAGAGTAAGCAATTTTGATCCCACTCAGTGGTAGTAAGAGAGGGTGTTAGGAGGATTGAATAGGTTTAGAAGATGGACACAAACCAGTGTCAAAGGGTGGAAACTTTACCTCTTCAGTACTTAAGCTTAACTAAGTACTGTTGACCGATAAAGATCCTCAAGACACAGGAAAACTGATGAAGCAGCTTAAAACACCACAGATGTCCTCGGCTTTCTGGGAGGCTGTCATGCTGAGGCTGGGCCAGCTCTGCAGGGTTCCACAAGAGGCAACAACAGCCCAGTGTTTTGGTTGAGTGACCCAACAAGCTAGCACACTGAGGAGTTAGCTGGGCACTGACTTTGGCTGATGAGAGACTTGTTCTTTCCAGTGGTGGCTCTTGGGCAGCAAGGCCAAATGACAAGCAGGACCTACATAACCCTGCACCTGTAGGATTCCTCAGAGGTTGTTGTGAGAGGAGTTAGAGTCATGTTTTCTGGGTCTTCTCTGATCTGTGGAGGGTGGAGGCTGGGATGTGTGTCACACTGACACAGGTGGGCACATCTCCTCCTTGGTCCTCATGTGTGCAATGCACACCTCGTGTGCGTTCTCTACTTACAAAGTGATCCAATGTGCAAGACATGATAACACACTCATATATCCAGCCAGTTGCTGTGTTTAAATGCTCTAATCATATTTCCTAGACATAATCATGCTTTCTTTACATTCTCATTTTGAACCAAAATAAAATGATGATCCCATTTATGTATTAAATTTATGAAGAAAGCTTTTGGTTGTACTTCTTCTGATGTAAAATTCTATATTTCATCCATTTTTTCTAAGTAATGCACAATTATTCATGCCAGCTTTCTCAACATAATTTTAGAGGAAATGTGAAAATTTTATATAAACTGCATATATAATTCTGTATGACATAATATCTCAGAAATCAGTAATGGTACACATTCATCTATGTTTCATCTCATTCAAATGTTTAATTAAAAAAATCTTTAGAAATTAAAGTGAGGGGCAAAGTGAGATCATTTGAAGTTCTTATCAAATGCTGCATATTTTCGTCTATTAACTATTTCATTAGTACACATCATCATGTATTTTATATACTATATGTGTCATAAAATTTACACTGTCTTTAACAACCACATTGCATAGGTGTTGCTACTGATATCCAGAATCTCAGAGATAATAGGTATTTTTTAAATTTAAGAAACCATGCCCTCAACAAATTCCTGCTTAGAGTTCCGTGAAGTGAATCCCTTTAAAAACAACAATTATGTGGT